GGTTTCCTCACCCATGGAGGGTGAGACTGACTGAAAAGGGGGCCAAGTGGTCAAACAGAAGACCAGTGCAAGAGTCAGGTCAAGCTTTATTACTTTCCAGCCGGCTTCTTCCCGTGGGAGTTTCACCTTGTATATCTGTAGCAAATTAAATATGCCCATTCTTCTCTATTTCCATAACTATTCTTACTTAATGGTTACAGTGTTTGGTTAATGAATCAGTGCTTTCCTTCTGCCGGAGTCCTCCGTGCCTCGTACTCTGTCTTACAGCAGGGCACGCCCCTAATGAAGAGAGGTCACCTCGTGGATGGGGTGCATTCTGGGCCCTCTCCCGCCAAGAACCAGCAGGGTGCCAGCCAGCCACGGCTCTGCACGCTTGGGGGACTGGAGGAAAGGAAGACGTGCGCGGGGCTCCTTGGAAGGGACTTCAGAGTTGCAACGAGCCCTGCACAGCCACACCCCTGGCGGCAGGCCAAATCTAATGACTGCTGGGTCGAAGGATCCCGCTGCACGAGGGCCACCCAGCATAGTCCGAATGCTCCAACATGATTCCCTACTCTCCAGATCGTGCCCCAGCTCCAGTTTCTTGCCAGGCAGGAAAGCCTTAACACCACACTGACAATTGTATCAGTCTCATTCACACGTCCGTTAGGGTGAGAAACGTGTTCATGGCTGTGGGCGTCTGGAATTGGCTTCCACCAGCAAAAGAGCAAACAGCTAAAAGTGTCCCACGGATTTCTCTTCATGGCTATGCCAGATCTGACCTAAAAGAGGTTTCAAAAGCACCCCTTGCCAGACCTCCAAGTCAACCCTATCAGTGCTCTTGAGGAAAAGCCGTACTACAGCTACCTTGGTCTTTGTGTGTGTCCGATGTCATGTCAGATCTGGGCGCTCACTCACCTGTACTTTTGATTGCTCCCTTCCAACGTTGTCGTGCAGCTGCTGAATGGCTGCTTTGAGTTGCTTGATTTCTGTGTGAACAGAGGTCAGCTTTTCACAAACAGCTCCTCTTTTCTCCTGAAACTTGTTACAATACCTGGAGAACAAGAGGTCGGTAACCAATTAGCACTGCAACTACCAAATATTTCATACTCTTTGTCAAATGCCAGATTATGTTTTGTAAACACACTGGCCTTAGGTCTTACTCTTGAAAACAAGAACCAAAGTCGAGTTGTTCTGCACGTGGACAGCTGAACAGATTGTTATCCTAATGGCCTACCTATGGGTGGTCCTCAACACTTGGGGCATCCCCCTTGCACATTAAGGGTATGTAAAGGTAAAGGTAAAGGTTCCCTTGCTCGAAAGCCAGTCGAGTCCGACTCTAGGGTTGCAGTGCTCATCTCCGTTTCAAAGCCAAAGAGCCAGCGCTGTCCAAAGACGTTTCCGTGGTCATGTGGCCGGCATGACTAGATGCCAAGGCTCACGGAACGCTGTTACCTTCCCACCGAAGTGGTACCTATTTATCTACTTGCAATTTCTTGCTTTCGAACTGCTAGGTTGGCAGGAGCTGGGACTAGAGACGGGAGCTCACTCCGTCATGCGGCACACTCGGGTCTCGAACTGCTGAACTATCGACCTTCCACAGCCTGCAGTTCAGCGTCTTCACCACTTGAGCCACCGCAGCTCCTTAAGGGTATGTACCCAGGTAAAATTAGATAAGGGACCACAGCCCATGTAGTATTTGGTAGTAACACATCGCTATGAGAACGGGGAGGATCAGAGAAATAAAGCAGGCAGAAAACAGAGTCAGAATTTGGTAGTAACACATAGCTATGAGAATGGGGAGGATCCGAGAAATAAAGCAGGCAGAAAACAGAGTCAGAGTCTAAATCTTTGTTTAGAAACACAGACCATGAAAAGCAGGAGATACTGGAACATGGGGGCTCCCCCTTCTGGATGTCTTTATGGTCTGAGATGCGTCACTCCACTCTCTCCTAATAGCGGACGTTGCTCAAGGAAACCACAGCCAGGTATATTAATGGGGCTTGTTTTTAAGCCAATTTCCACAATTCCAGGAAAAACAAACAAAACCAGGTTGCTTACCTGCAACTGACATTCTTTGCACAGTTACATGTTGGGAATGCGGCACCTGTACAGAAGCCACGTCAAAAGCATTCTAGGTCTCTAGACAAGGAATTGATGGTCAAGTCCCCTCCTTGAGGGGCTTTTGCTCCTCTGCACATGCTCTGAGAGGAGCAGCAAGTACTTTTCTACTCAGTTCCTTCAGATTGGTGCAGGTAGCTCCTTCAAGAGGATAGAAGATGTGCTAGCAGGAGGAAACAGCCCACATAGGTTGAAGACATTCATGATCTCCTAACATCAAATGTACACTCCTTGGCAAGAGCAGACTGCAAGAATTATCTAATCTTGCACTGGAATTGGGGCAGACTGGATATGTGAAGAAGAACAGCACTTTGTACATACTTTCAAGGCTTCAGGGCTACGGGTGACAGTTTGGTCTAGGAGCGCTTAGTAGCTTCCAACAGAACCAAATGGAAACAGTACCTGACTGGACCAGACAGTCCACTGGATCAGATATTTCTAGAGGTGGCTGTTTGATTTCCAGCCTTATGTCTAGACCCACATATTTGATTTGCTGTGTGTCTTTGATCTGTCAACTGCATGAGAAGAAGCTATACAACAGGTGCTTCCAAGGTTAACAAGGTAACTGAGTTGGAAGGTCCACCAGAATCCCAGTCAGATGAAAGCAGCTTAACTCTCCCTGCATGGGCTTGCACAAGAGCAGGGAACCAACATCAGTGCCCCAGAACCAAGGAGGGAACATGTGCTGGAAGAGTTGCCAAGGCAGAGCGACTTGTAGCAATGATCCCACATGGGACTCTTTAAGCAGGGTAGGCAGATGCAAAACAAGCAGACAAGAGTATCCCATGGTAACTGCGAGGGCAGACAACCAGAGTAGTCGTGGGGGAGGGGAGCGATCACAGCAGTAGGATGGAACTTTAATATCTGCTTTTCCCAGGAACTGACGGAAAGGGACTGCAGAACAGAACCTGGACGCGTATGGTCTAGGATTTCAGGGTGAAGGGGAACGGCATCCGGCTCTGTGACCATCCTCTTGCCACGCTTAAGGGTGTGCTCAAGGGATGGGTGGGGAAACAACACACTTCCTATGGCTGGGAACAGAACCCACAGGCCTGGCCCGGGTGGAATGAGAGCAGCCACTGATGCCACACACACAATGCGTTCCACTTCACATTTTCAGAGAGGACCAAGCAGATCTTAAAAAGAGGCCTTATTTGGAATCTAGAGAGCCTTTGCAATGAAGCACAAAAAGTGCCAAAAAAGGTTTAGTACCTTCTATTCCATTCTCTGAGGACAGAATGGAGGAAGAAATTGTTGCAAGTATCCAACATGAGTGCAAAAGGCTGGAAGTGCTCCAGAAGCAATGGAACATCAGTCAAAGGTTAGCACAGCCCTCAACAAAGGAACAGGATTATAGGCTGGCCCATCAGATGGGAAAAGAGGCAGAGGCTAGAAAAGATAAGAATCTCTGACTTCAGGTGACCACTTTAAACCTAAAGGATTCTCTCCCCATCTCAGTTTTTAGTTCTCTAGATGTCAGATGGCATGGATGTTGCTGGAAGTGTGGAAATCCCTTGCACACTGGCTCAAGGGATGGAAGACACAGATGAGAGTATAACCATGTTCTCTGTTGGACCAAAGTAGACTGCAATACAGCGGAAGCTGCTGGAGATTTGGGTCTGGCCCTCAGATTAGGGACCAATGCCCTCTCCCAAATTTGTGCCTAGAGGCTAGAAGATCGCTTCCTTCTAGCTGGCTCAATAAACTTATGACAGAGGAAGGGTTCTTATGTTTCCTGCCAGACAGCAGATAGTACCAGTTGTGTCCAGAGAACTTGCTCCTGTAAGTATGACCACATCTAGCGTTTCCCTGGCTTTTCTCCATATGCTGTTTCACATTTAAATGTAGACTACTGTACCGTAAGTGCACAGCCATGGAAATAGCAATGAGAGCAAAAGCTGCCTAACTAGGTACAAAAAGAATCGAAGAGAAAAGCTAGAGCTGAGGAGGAGAAGGAAAGGCTGTGGGAAAGACTGTGAGGAAACAGCACTCCAAGACTTTACTATCGTGTTAGTCACAAAGTAATGGAGGAGGCCATTCCCTCAGAGCCTCTGTTTCTCAAGTGTGGGCAGATCTGCAGACCACTAAATTCACAGATTAGGCCCACACAGAGAAAGGAGATTTTTCTCCAAACTTGGAGAACCCCCAGATTTGCAGAAAATCTTAAAAGTTAAAAAAGTATATTGAGGGGTTTACCCCCACCCAAAAAATAATGTTATCTGCTCGTGCGCAGATCATGTACCTGCACAGCCAAACACAGCAGCTCCCGGGGGCCTTGCCACTGATGCTGCAGCGGAGGAAGAGAGCAAGGCAAGAGGAACGGAGGCAGAGGGGATGGGGAGGGGGTGCACCCTCCCCTACTAGTGTCTTGTGGGTCCCTGCTTCTGAGGGACTAAGCATCACTTCCCTTAGCTAGAACACAGCCCAGGCTCAGCACTCTTTCACCTTGAACTCATTTTGTAAGCTAAGAAAACGGGGAGTGCTTTTCCACACGAGAAAACCGTTTCACTTACTCACACTCACCCCTATCTTGCCATCACTTCTCCTATTCCTTTTCCCCTCCCCACCATCCTTTAAACTTCGGTTCGAGGTTCCCAGTCTTTTGCCTGTGCTCCTGTCAAGTGTCACGCACACCAGTGGCATAATAATAAATTGATAATAATAAATTGATGTGTGTTTTTAAGCAAGCTGCCACGTCTACAGGAACAACTTCCTTGTCAACAAAGACCTTGCAGCTGCAGAAGCAGAGAGACAGCTGAGCACCTTCCATTCGTCTTCTTCTTGATGCACATTTATATTTTGGGTGTAAAAGTGCCGGCTGCAAATACCTCCGCGTGTGGTCATTTCTTGTGTCGCCCCCCACCACATAAGCACAAGGGGATGGTTCTCTCACCTAACATCGACCACTGGTCAGTGCCCTTCCTTCTAGAAGTACTCGTTCCACTCTTTCGCATATGCAGTGGAGGAAAGTTGGGTTAGTGTTAGAGGTTAGTTTTGTTGTGGTACTAACAACTGGAGTTGCCCATATGTTTACTTATGCAATACAATACTTGTCATTGCTTTGATAAAATTAACCAAGAAACTGTGGTTAGGATTAGGTTTTCCAGAAGCAATAATTAGAAAATATGGTCATTAGAACACAAAATCCTGAAGGCTGGGAGGGGAAAGAAAGAGTTTGATTCCTAAATATTAGGTGTGGCTGTGAGAGTCCAAGAAAATTTACTGAGGCCTGAATTATGCAGAAAGTTTCCAGTGGACAGGTAAGTTAGTCTTTGGTAGCAAAACAAAATTCGAGTCCAGTGGCACCTCGGAGACCAGCAACATTTTCCAGGCCGTGAGCCTTTGTGAGTCAAAGCTAATTTTTTTCCCGTGATGGAGGTGGAAAGCACTGTCAAGTCACAGCCAGCCTACGGTGGCCCCATAGGCAGGGTCTCCAAGGCAAGAGATGTTCCAGAGAGGTGGTTTGCCCAACAGCCTGCCTCTGCGTAGTGACCCTGGACTTCCTCACTGGTCTCCCATCCAAGTACTCACAAGGGCCAACCCTGCTCAGCTTCAGAGACTGGCAAGCTCAAACTAGCCTGGGCCGTCCACTTTGTTGCTGTCAAGCTGCGTCACAGACATCAATTGCTACCAATGCTCCTGCTAAGCTGTGGAGTCTTGTGAGCAAACATTCTGCTTTGTGAGCTACTTGCATGAAAGTTGTGAGCGAGCGAGTTGGCTACTACATAAATTAGTTTGCTCTGGAGCCATCCTTCCTGAGCCAAGACAAAAAAAGTGTGAGCCAGAGGCTAAAACACTGTGACCTAGCTCACACTAACTCAGCTTAGCGGGAACACTGACTGGTGCACCGTGTCACCTGCCTACAAGCACAGTTGCTTTCACAATCAAATATATTACACCCTTGTCAGAAAGGACCAGAAGACTATGTTTTCTTCTAGGTGCTAGTTTTGAAGTTACATGAAATTGCTTTAACAATTAAGTAGGATAAACACAAATGCCAGTTAATTCATACTCTATTATTGCCTGCTTGCGCTGCTCTGTATCCTCACGTATCTTCTTTGTTTTGATTTCGGTAGTAGTGAGCTTTTCCCGTTTTGTAGTAACCAGCCTCTTCAAGGACATCTCTTCCGTCTTGGAATTCCTGAGTCCACTTTTGCTGCTCTCAAACTGGTGCTCTAGGGCTCGGATCTGGAAGGTGAATGTTGTAAGACATTGGAAGTGGAGATAGGGAGAGAGAAAAAAGGTAAAGAGCTGCAGTTATTTGGCCAGCTCCAAACTAACTGTTTGCTTTGAGAGAGAATCAGAGCCAACTTTGGAAACCCTAGCAAACAGGGAAAGACTTGGCACGTTCAGGCAGACTCAGATTTGTTTCATGAAGCTGTTAAGACTTTAGGCTGTATGCTAATTTATCATTTTATTGTTTCCTCAGTGGTCTTGGGCACTATTTGGTGGAAAGCCAGGTTAGAAGTTTTAGCTTCCTACTGTATTAATGAAGGGGGGAACCGCAAAGAATCATCAGTGGCAGGAGACAATTTGGAAAATCTCCTCTTGCCAGTGCCACTCAAAAATCTCCCCCCTCAGGATCCTAAGCTCTCCAGGGCTTGAACTGGCCAGCCCTCCTCCCTTTCTCCTTCGACACACAACTACCTCCAACTTTAGAAATGTGTATTTGGATACTTCTGGTCTGAAACAGTGCCCCCAAACTTCCCTGTGTTGTTTAAGATTAGAGGTATCCAAAACATAGCAAGGCTGAGGCACTCTTTGGGGAATATCCAAATGCACACGCCTGGTCAACAATCTGTCCCTGCTGGAGTGTTTGCGTGTCTTCGTGGAGCAAATTTACTTTTTAAAATGTTTTATAAATTAACCGAAGTTGTAGTTCTGAACATCTGGGGTGCCTCGAGTAGGTAAAGACTCCTGGCTCTGCCTGCGGCTGGCTACACGGTGCCTTCTTCATTGTCCCTCAGCAGCCAGCCACTTCCCTATTGGATACAGTTGATCTCATTGCCAGGCGGCGTTCAATTAGCTGGCTCTTGAGACTCCCTTCCAATGCACAGGCATTGAGAAAATTGCATGTACGTTTGTCTTTGGGTAAGAGGTGATGTGACAACAAGCCAGCATGAACTGGCCTTTACTACGGGGCCAGAAAAGCAATTTACAGCTTTGTACTATGTGCTATGTTTCCAGTCATACTTGCTGTTTGCCCAAAAATATATATATATCCTGCAACTGAAATCCCAAACCAGCCACTGGACAGAGCAGACACAGTAGAGTGGTTAAGAGTAACAGACTAGGACCTGGGAGATCAGGTTCAAATCCCCTTTCTGCCATGGAACCTCACCAGGTAGGTGACCTTGGGCCAGTGATACACTCTCCCAGCTGCTCAAGGCACCTTGCAGGGTGGTTTGTTGCTACAGACTGGCTGACGGGTTCTTCCCTGAGCCTTCTGTCCCCAGCTCAAGGCTTGGTCTGGCATTGACTGTGTGGTGCTATACCAGAAAAGACCATGCCCCAGGGGTATGGACAGCACCAGTAGTGTAGCTCAAGGTAGGAGAGACAGAAGACAAACCTCTGCCAGGACAGCTGACTTCCGATCGATATTTGCTGCCTGGGTTCGCATTTTCTCCTGATACATTTGGATCTCTGCCTGACAGGCCGGCAGCATCTCAACCAGGTCTCTGTAGACTTCGTACTTCTGGATAACTTCTTCCTTTAACAAACAAGCAAAAAATCAAGGAATTTTTAGTACTGTAGACAATTTTTATATAAAGTAGATAATGAAGTGCTTGAGATTTGTCACGTGCCTCAATATCATGAGAGAAGAAAGTTGCAGCATTTACAGATCAGGAACAGAACGCAAGCACTGCACATGGCTGCCTGCACCGCTGTGTCTTGATTTTTAACCCTACAATTTATCCGGCATTCTTGTTACAGAAGCACTCAAAACAGCTCACTGACAAGTTGGAAAGTCTCAAAATACAGAGTGTTAAATGTAAAATAATAGCACCAGCACTGACATAACCCAGAGAAGTACAGTACCCTTCATTCTGCCCCAAAACGCTGCAAGCAATTCCCATGTTTGCAAATAATTGTGCATTTACATGTCCACAGCAATCCTTCAGCACTGTGTGCCACAAGCTATTGTGATTTCCTCCTCCAGGGTAGATGAATTCCAGTTGAGGTCCCCAGCATTCCTGGCCAATACATTTGTTACATCTCCACGAGCAAGCCCATTTCAGGAAAGCAGTTCCTGGCAAGCTGAAGTGCTTAAGCATTTGGAGAAACTACAATGCTGATCTACACTCTCCTAGCATATAAGAGAGGTCTCTAGACTTCCATTTTCCCAATAGATACCAAATAAGATTACTAAATTCATCTGAGCCAAAAGCAAATACCGTGGACCATTTTTCCCTGGGAAAAAGATACCACAGGGACTCTGGGGAACGGGGCAACCTGATAAGGAGCACTTTCAAAGGCTACACGTCCTTTCTTGCTGAGAGGCAAACACCACCAAGAAACGAGGGAATTTATTTAATTTATTTATTTCGATTTATATCCCAGCCTTCCTACAAGTGGGCTCAGGGCAGCTCACAATAATAAATTAATACAATCTTAAAATAAGTCAAGCAGACAATAAATAACAATATTAAATCAATACAATATAATAATACTATAAAACCATTTTAAGACATTTGTAGTGGGCAGTGCAATAGATTCTGTTTCAATTCCTACAGATGAGAAATGAGTTGGCCAGCACCAAGCTATAATTTAGCTCTCTATCCTTACCTCTCCCCCATGGGGGAGACCCAACTGACAGGTGAACCCTGGGGGTTCTGGAAGTATCAAGGGAAGCTGAAATAAGGAGGGCTTTTTGCTGATAAGGTCAGCCGACCCCAACTGATTTTTTAATTCCTTTTTTATTTTTTTATTCCTTTTTTTCTTAAACCAATCTGAATTCAGTAATCTTTGCAATCTGGACTCCCAGAACTGTGATTGCGATTGAAAAGACTGGCAAGGTGGGATACAAATTGAAAATACTAAATAAAATAAATAAATTTAGACTTACTTTCATTTATTTTTCGCATCCTCCTGGACCAAACTGAAACCTATGTTTCCTGTCTCATTACAATGCTGATTATCTCCATGCCGCCCACCCTTCTGCATAGCACACCTAATCCAATCAAGCCTGGCTATTGCCATTCAGCCTCTGAAATCATCTTTATCAAGTTTATATCTCCGGTACCTCTTGTTACATTTTATGGTGTACATGGCCCGACCCGACAAAGTGACACTTATGTCAGATCTGGCCCTCATGACAAAATGAGCTCATCACCTGTGGATTAGAAGATAAGCTACTTTTCTCATCTACACTATATTCATTCAGAACATTCATTACTTGCTACATTGAGCCCTTTTTTGTAAAAACTGTAGAAAATATCATTTTTTATTCTAATGGACATATACTTTAGATGAGTTATTTAAATAGTATAAACTTTGTTGTGCATTTGATCTATGCATAGAAAACAGTATATGGGAATATTATATGGAAACTGTATACAATAGTTTTAAAAACAGAAGAGCGAAAAGGAAAATGGCCACAGGAATAAGTCAAAGAGACAAAAAAAGGAGTACAGATGAAACAGATGAGAACCAGAGAACTGAAGAAATGGTGGAAAAATTATTGGGAATATCGATAAACCAAATGCAACAATTTGAAGAAAGAACTCAAAAGATCATTTGAGATTCAGAGGGAAGAACCTTAAAGAATATCCAGAGTACTCAGAGAAATATTCAAGAATCTGAGGAAAGAACCCAGAAGAACATTCAAGAAGTGTGTCAAGAGATAGCGGCTGGACTATCAGAAATTAATTTAAATTACAAGAACACAAAAAATTACAAAAATCAAAGAGAAGCAAAAAGATAATAACACACATTTAGAAAGGCAGGATCTTCATACTGAGAAGGTAGAATAAAGAACTGAAATCCTGGAAACTCAATGCAGATCTAATAATCTGCATTTTAGAGGCCAAATTTGGAAAAAGCTTTTTTGACTTACTTCAGAATTATTTGAAGGTAGAGGAAGTCCTTCCTGACATTGACCAGATTTTTAGAGTGAATTCAAGATTTGCATTCAAGAATAAGCTACCTCGATATATACTAGTTTGATTCACCTACAAGAAAACACAAGACACAATACTAAAGAATCAAAGGGAATCACCACTCAAGGTTGAGGGAAAAGAAGTGCAGATCTTTCAGGATTTACCAACAAGCATGTTAAAGAAAAGGGAAGACTGACTTCTTGAGACAGATTTTACAAAAGAAATAAATAAAATATCATTGGAAAACACCATTTGCAATAGAGGTACATTTACCAAAAAGGGAGGGAAATAATTGCAACAGAGAAAAAGCCAGGCAATTGGCCAAAGAACTGCAAGCAGAGGACTTACATAGAGGAACAGAAGGAGAATCTCCAAGTAATTGAAAGCAATCTTCTAGTAGCTCAAAGCAAAGTTCACAGACCAAAAACTCTAGTGGTAGGGATGGCAAAACCTGCCAGCAACCCAGCCCCTTCTTCACTAACAAGGAAACATTAGGAAATAACAAGCCACGAGGCATCCAGATGGTCAGAAAAACAGGCATCCTATGTTTGTTAGGTAACATAGAGCCAGTGCGGTGATCAGGCCGGATCTGGGATTCCCAGGTTCAAATCCCTACTCTGCCACAAAAGCTTGCAGGGTGACCTTAGGCCAATCACACGCTCTCAGCCTAACCTGCCTCACAGGGTGGTCGCGAGGATAAAATGGAGGAGAGGAGAACCGTGTCAGCTGCTTAGGATCCCCACTGGGGAGAAACAAAGAACAAGAAGACCACGAACTAAAGCTGTAAAAGGCTGGCTGTTCGGGGAATTTTAAGGAGGACGTAGCGCTTGGCTTCTCTTAAGTCAGTGTGCATACCGAAGAATGTGCCCTTGTGAAGCTGGCTCAATTGCTGCCGATGAAATCAAGCAAAAAGGAAGCGACAGTGCCCCTCCTCACCTTGTCCTTCTTGGCCTTCAGGAGGGCCTCCTTCAAGCGTTCTTTGCAACTGGTCAGCTCCTCCGGAGACTCCGTGATCTTTGACTTCAGTTGCTCTTGCTCCGCTTTCAGCTCACATAGGGTGCGTTTGAGCTCATTCTAATGAACAAGAGTAAACGTAGAATTCTGTCGATGCCAAGACAAGTTTCAATCCAATGCAAATCAGAGGGCCTGTAAACCAGCCTTTTAATAGCCAGCGAGCAGTTAGTTTTTAAGTCTTCAGATAAGGAAACATCACTAGCAGCTAAGCCTCCCATTTCTGCCATAGCAGAGAACTACAGCAAGCAGCAGCCAATTGCTCTGATTTTCCAAAACGCTAGAACCTGTCCAACGAAAGGGGCACACAGGGCCCTCTCAGCACCAGCTGCCTTAAAGGGGCTGCCCACTCAATACTACACAAATTGTCAACAGTTGGCTATTCAGTTGAGCAAACCTTAATAAGTTGATTGTAAAACACCCTGAAAAAGTTACACACTATTCCAGGCAGTGTATGGAAGCCTGCTATTTTTGTACTCAAAATGGAACTTGTTAGTGTTTTAGTATCTGGCAGAGGATTGGCTCCAGTAGCTGGAATATGTTTTTTGCTGGAGTAGGTAAAGTTCCAATAGCTACAATTACCTTGCAACACAAAACTCAAACCTAGTGCAGAGTGCCTTGGGAAAACATTGTTCTTACTGCATGCTCCAGGGTTGCAATACAGACAGGATTCTAACCTCATTACAGATGCACTTGCCACCTCTATGCATCTCTCCTACATCTATTCAAGCCAATTACATTTTGCTTTGTCCCACTGATGCTGTAATGGTTAAGAGTGGCAGGGGCTAATCAGGAGAACTGGGCTGGATTTTCCCACTCCTCCTCCCCATGAAGCCTGTTGGGTGACCATGGGCCAGTCATAGTTCTCTCTCTCTCTCTCACCCCCACCTACCTCAGAAGGTGTCTGTTGCGGGGAGAGAAAGGGAATGGTATTATAAGCTGCTCTGAGACTCCTTATGGTAGAGAAAAGCAGAGTACAAAACCTACTCTTCTTCTCTGAGCTCCGTCTCATCTTCTGACCTACTAGATGATAGATCTTCATTCTCATTTGTATCTGAGAAAGTGAGCTTTGACTCACACAAAAGCTTATACCCTGGAAAATATTCTTGATCTTCAAGGTGCTACTGGACTTGAATTTTGTTCTACTGCTACACAACAGAACAGCTACACACTTGAAATATACTGCATGTAGACAGCTGAAGACAAACGTATATTCAGTTGTACCTCGCTGCATTGTGAGGTTATTCCAAAGGCTACCATCAGTTCCCTACTGAGATGCACTTACCAGGTTTTGGGTTTTTTCTGTAGTTTTCATTCTCTTTTGGCTGATCACTTCTTGCAAAGCACTCTAGTGGAAAGAACAACCATTTGACAATTAAGGAAGCAAGAAACTTGGCTTTTCGCTTTGAGCTCCAGCAGAGCCTAGACCTTTGCCTGACATTCTATCTAGCCGGCAGCTATGCAGAAACTGCCCATTTCCCCAGCTCACAGCTGCACACAGTGGCCAGTCTCTGAAGGACAAGCCTCCGTTGACTTTGGTGCTTCACAGAAGGTGACAGAATGAGCTTTACAGGCAGCGGAGGCCATCTTTTAAGAGTCAAAACATAAAAGTTGCCATTCGAGACCAGGTCCTTAGAGGGCAAAGCCAAAGGAGCCTCGCCTCCCAGGCAGATTCCCACGTACCGCTTTCTGCCGATATTCCTGGTTGAGCTTGTGCTCCAGCTGTTGAATGTCTTGAGACAGCTCCTTGAACTCCTCTTGTTGATCAGCAGGGATAGTGCTGGATGCACAAGAGAAATGACATTGCACACTCACAGTAAATAGGCAAAGACTTCCACTTTTTAGGAAAGCTGTGAATATACCTATTTTACGGGCTCTAAAGGGTTGGATCCAAAGACACTCTTCTGCTGAGAGTTTTCCCCCATGTCAAAGAACTTGGATCCAACCATGAATGTTGAAATAGTATACAAGAGTCTTCTAAAATCCAGGATTTTAGCACATGTGAATAAACAGGGTTTGTTTTTTGTTTTTGAAAAGTGAGAGGCTTTACAGGTCAGCAAACCTAGTCAAATCAAAGCTAAACTAATTTCTATAAGAGACCGCATGCAACGGACAAAACTGCGAGTTCAAGCAGGACTGGAAAGAACCCGTAGCCAGCCCGTTTGCAGCCGCAGTGCTCAGATCCCATAGGTGACAGAGCCATCCCAACCTCCTCCCATAACTACAGAGCCCCTTGGAAGCACCAGGCTGACCACCCCACTCCAAGATCCTTGCTCAGCGGGTGGGAATTGCCAAGTGCTCAAGAGCACACATCTGCTCCCATCTGCTCAAGGCACTGGCATTGACCTTTAAGGCAGGGGTGTCAAACATGCAGCCCAGGGGGTGCCCCCCCCCCCCGGGAAGGCTTCTCTCAGGCCCGCAGTGGAACTGGCTGTCTTCTGCTTCTTCTTCCAGTTCTGCTGCTGCTGCATCATTGTAGGCTTGCAGCTTACAAATACAAACCTGAACAGCATACTCAAGATTGCAACAGCACAGACATTTTGATTCAATAATTCTCTGAATACCAGCTTGCAGGTGATCCCTGGCCCTCGGGATGTCTGACGGTCTCCAACCAGGGCCAGGACCTTCTCCGGACCTGGTGGAGCTCTGAGTCAAATGACATCAGGACGATATGTAATTCTGCAGGGCCTGTAAGGCAGGTGTTCTGCCAGGCTTTTGGTTGAGGGCAGCAACCGTTACCTCATCAGATACCTTTTGCTCTGAACTCCCCCCATCCCCCCGCCCAGAAAAGGGCTGGATATTTTATTCTGTACTGTAATTTTTATTAAGTTGTATATTCAGTTTTAATGTTTTCGTATATTTCGTATATTGTGCCTTTTGTACATCACATCACCCAGAGTCCTACCCAGGGTAGGGCGATTAATAAGAAATCTAATAAATAATAAGAAGAACCTCAAGTCGAATGGGCTGGAGTCGAGTTGAGGGGAATAGCGTGGCCAGCTCTATCCTCCCTCCTCCTCAACTCACAGTAAGCCCCTGAGATGGGTTGTGCAGCACAGGTCAGTGGAGCGTGTCCTACTTGGCCATCCTCTGCTCATGAAGCTACTGCAATGGCTTGCCCGTCCCTGACGACCCCACCCACGCCTCCCTCCTTAGAACACACACCACGAGGAGAGAAAGGGCTCTTCCTCGGCCCCCGTTTCACGGGGATAGGCTGCAAGGAAGGAAGTCTTCCCAGATGTGCAATCTGGGATGAGTCAGATGTTCTGAGGATGGAGAAAATCGTGTATTTCAGGTCCCTACTGATACCCTATAATAGTTTCTATGCAAGTCACCCTCCAAAGACCAGAAAGAGCATGGGCAGCTTTGGTGACTTGCTCCTTATTACCAGGTAGCAGCCAGTAGCTTTTAGGGGGTGGGGGCAAGCCTCACGGTCCTATGCCACTGGTCACACCCAAAGCTTGCTAAGGATCACTGCCTGCAAAAGGAGTAAGCCACTGCGAGGTATTTGTCCTCAGGCACACCATAAGAAGCCACTGGCAATACCAAGAAACCTGCAAATTCTTCAAAAGGGGGAGACCATAGCCCTAATTGTGCCTGAACCCAGTTCCAACTCACACACCCCCGCCCCCCGAGTTTCCAGCTACCGTTAGGGCAAAAAGTCATGGAGGTAGCAACCAGGTATTCTGTACTTGGGCCTGGATTCAGCGGCAGCCACTGGATTCCACTGCCCCCTCAACAGAGCCTATGTTTAATAGGGGAGAGGTCTGCATGTTCCATTACGCTTCAAATGTACGATCTGGGGACCTGTGAACTCAGAAACAGGCCGCGGTTTTAAGTCGTGACCACTAGAAGCCTCAGGCCGCTTACTCGAGTTTCTCCAGCTTCAGCATGGCCTTCTGGATTGACATCTGAAGCTGCTGCACTTTTTCCACAGCCAATTTCTGCAAAATAAAAAACTGGTTATATTAATAAAGATGGCAAACATTGCACACAGCTCACCACATTCCACAAAATGCAGAATCTGCAGTTTGTATAGAATCTTGCTGTAAAAGTCAGCTTGATTCTCCAGGCCAAGTGCACTAGCTGGACTTTACTCTGTCAAAAACCAACCACTCCATTTTTAGGCTACAACCCTTAAAACTCCACTCTAGCTTCCGGTTGCATATGTGAGAATGTCCACCAGGTCTACGGGGTCAAGGGCAGGCAGAAAGCGGACCAGGATCCAACAGCCAGTGGTTGGTAATCTGCAGCCGGTAGCTAAGAGCATCTCTGCCCCCCTCCCCTAGCTGATTCTCCATAGGACACAGCGGGAGAGAGAGTCCCTCCTTGCTCTGGCTGCCCCCCCCCCTGCCCCAGTGATGGCCCCGGCTTCACTTTCCAAGGAATGAAAGCTGCCGCTGTCCAGGAAGCAGCAGTTCACAACACTTCGCCAGGCGTCTTCCCCACCCCACCCCAACACTAGGAAGGTTCTCACTCCTGTTCTGTTCCAAATACAGAGACACAGGCAGAGTCAAGACCTGCCAACCATTTGCTTCTTGGCCGCTGGCCACCTAACTCCCCCGGCTTCTCTCCTCCCTTCCCACCTTCCCCTTCCTCCTCTCTCTCTCAGGCCGGGGCTTCATTTTCCCCTTAGACCAGCCCCATGTCCCCCAAGCCCCTACTTTTCAACCCACTTCTTCTGTGTTTCACAACGCCCTTATACCTAACAGAACACTGCCTGGCTATGCTTCGTGAATAGTGAAAGCTGACCTACAGTACCACCCACAGACAAGATAAGGGGGTCTTTTCCATACTTGGGGGAACGCCGCTGGTACGCACATTTTTTAAAAAGAAAGAGGCCCTTTTGTTTTGGAAACTTGACAAAGAAAACATAGCCTGATGAAAAATGTCCCCAAAGGGCTGGAACATGGCACATCAGTTAAAAGGGAGAAAAGAAGCAGACTAGGGAAGAGAGGTCCCCAGCACCTCAGTGACCAGGAGAAAAAGCAGGGAGCCCCAAGCCTCAGCGGCGAGCACAAGCACTGGTGGGGGCTGAGTGCTGGGGCTGTGAGAGGCAGGACGCAGGAGAGTGGCTCCCACCCACCCACCCACCCGCAGCAGCTCAGGAATGTATGCAGCGCGAGTGACCGACTTTTACTTTTGCAGGTATTTTAGGGAGGCTGGAGGATAGTCTGCAACCTTGAACCGTGAGTACCCACTTGTGATGTATCTTGTCACTCCACTCAGCAAAGTTCCTGCCTTCCTCCAGCAGAAAGCACTTCCGTCAGAGGAAGGATCCAGACTATGCTGAGCTAAGTTGGAGAGTACAGGCTCTTCTAAGGCTCACGTTAGGACAGCAGTCTGTTTGACAGAGTAGATCCCCATTAGAAGCTATTTTGTACTATGTCAAGTAATGCTGCGTGGAATTGGCAGAACGGAGGCTTCTCTCAGTGACTGGCTGAACTACCTGGATTGCTATAAACTGCTGAGAAAATGAAGCAATCGGAAGATTTCAACCACCCGGCTTCTGCAAGCACAGTGAAAGGCTAACTTAGAAGAAAAGGCGTACACAGACCCAATGGACAGTAAGAGACATACATGGTATGGTAAAGAGGCTGAGGAACTGGAAAGCCTGGGAGGAAATCATCCTAGGAAACAGGAAAAAACAAAGTCCAGAGGCATCATGGCTGAAGTTGCCAAGCAGCCGAGCATGACCAACATCACCCCACCTCCAGTAAGCTGAACAAGTCGTCTTACGTGTGTGTCCTGGGTTTCCAGGTAGACCTCACGCCGGGAATCACGGAATAGAAGGAAGTTAATAATGCCACTCAGGAAATGAGCTGTCCTCTTGGGCTCTAGAATTTCATCAGGGGAAAAAACACTGAAGTGAATGCTTCCACCACAGGTAAGGGCCGTGCCATTTTTCAAATTCAAAAGACCATGTGAAGTTCAACATTAAACTGCTCGGTAAATGCAACAGGCCAAAGGAGACTATAGCAGTGTAGGACTCCAGGAGCCTGTTAAAATATTTCTTGTGTTTTGGATTTCTAGGAAAGAAATCCACCTTAAAGTTTCGGAAGCAAGTAGACCTACTGGGGAGGCTACGACAGAACATAAGTAGCCAAAGAAGAGGAGGTCTGTGTGACGACACAGAAGGTCACCCAAGCATCACCAGTTACAGAGAAATGTTAACCTGCCCCTACTGAATCCAACAGGTCAAGATGGCCTCACGAAGTTGTGGCGTAGTGGCCAGTGTTGGACTAGGATCTTGGTTGCACAGATCTGAATTCCCACTCTGCCGTGGAAGTTTGCTGGGAGACCTTGAGCAATACCTCTTGTGGGCATTGCAGTGTATGTGCTAATAACCTGAGCGTACGATTTTTTGAAAAGTCTACAGAAACTAAAAGGCATTACCATCAGGTCATTTGTTAATTGTAATACTAAGGCGGTCATATTTGCTGTACGATATCCCTGCAAATGGCTACAAAGATAACTACAAGGCTGGTCAAGACAAAGATCTGCAAGCATAAGAAATAGAAAAACGCAGGCTCCAGTTTTCAAGCACACAATGAAACACAATGGAAATGGACTGTGATTCTAAGTCATCCAGAAGATCTAATTGTCTGGCTAACAACTTTAGGTGAAAGTCAGGTGACAGAGACTCTTCTGGATTTAGACATTAAAAATGGCATCACCCATGGGCTCCAATGAGGACGTAGGCTGTTAGCTCTGGGTGTATCTGTTGTCACTGTGTGCCATCATTAAACAATTTAGCTTATTTTTCTATGCCTTATAATGGTTGTAACCTAGCAGTTCAAAAGCAAGAAATTGCAAGTAGATAAATAGGGACCACTTTGGTGGGAAGGGAACAGGGTTCCGTGTGCCTTGGTGTTTAGTCATGCCGGCCACATGACCACGGAAACGTCTTCGGACAGCGCTGGCTCTTCAGCTTTAAAACGGAGATGAGCACCGCAACCCTAGAGTCGGATTCGACTGGCTTTCGAGCAAGGGAACCTTTACCTTTTATAATGGTTGTATTTAATAGCGACCCTGCTGTCTCTCCACCTTAGGACGATATAACTTTAAGATAAAGGGTCAATGGCTCAATCCCTCAGGAGTTCTTTACCGGCGATGTTAAGTATTTTACCACTTGAGCTCTTTGGTCTAGAAGTACCAGCAGTTAGCTCTCCACAGGATCGTCTACTGCTGAGATCCTTTAAGGACTATGCCTAATTAGCCTGTTGACATTCATTCACTTTGGAGACAGGCCTTTTGGGGTGGATGGCACCAAGGATATGTGCATGTAAACTGAGGGCCTATAGAGCAATTTTTCGGCCATTCATTCCACTGCTTTGTTTTCAGTAGTGATAAGCTACCTAAATCCCTCATTTAGCTACCAACTTTGGGGTCACATATAACTGCAGCAATATTACGATTTTTTTTTTAATCTCCTAGGACTTTACCATCACCTTTTGCCAACATACTCTTCCAACTATCAACAGATGGCCTTTTAGTGAACTTGGTTGGCTAAAAAAACCACCAACTTGGTTGGCAGTCCCCAGGTGTGCAGAAAAATCTGAGATGTTTCAAAAAGTATACAAGGGATACTTAAATCCCAAAAAAATTGCAACTGCTTGCTCTGGGCACGCGCAGGGAACTCACTCACTGAGGTGCGGGAACAGTGCGAGGGAAGCCGCCACGCCACTCACCATCCCCGCTGCTGCTCCAGCTGCCACAGCAGCAGCAACCGTCCCTGCGCAGAGGACAGACGTATCCTTGGGGACTCTGGCTGCCGTGCGAGGAAGCTCCAGGTAATTCAGGGACCGTGCCTCACCCCCCCCCCCGGTTTCTTCTGTCTGTTTGGAATTAGTGGCACTTTGCCCGTTTCATCTTTCTCCCAATGAAGGGCTGCCAGCCAGCCCTGGTCTCCTCCCACTAATGCTCCGCTCGCTTGACAGCCAGCCAACAGCCCACTCAGGTCCGCTGTCGCCTCGCACAGCAGGTAAAGGTCCCGACGCCACCTGCTCCACGGTCTGGCCCGGCTGAGGCGTCCTGAGGCCTCCTCCGAGCTCAAGGGGGATCAGGCCTCCTGGCGTCACTCTGCTGGTCAGCCACTGCCTCACCAGCAGCCTCCTCGCTTCCCCCGAGCCTCCGTTGTGCCGGGTCAGTCTCCCATGGCCCGGCATGCTCCTGTTGCCCAGGTATGTGCTGTGGGAGCCTCTTGGAGCCAAGAGAAGGAAGCCCCAGCGACCTGTCCAGACAGAGCAGTTCTGGACAAGCCACTGAGAGTAAGTCTCCCCAAACAAGGCCTGTAAAGAGTTGCGGGCGATGATTGTTGCTTATATATCCTTAAGTCTCCCCAAACAAGGCCTGTAAAGAGTTGCGGGCGATGATTGTTGCTTATATATCCTTAAGTCTCCCCAAACAAGGCCTGTAAAGAGTTGCGGGCGATGATTGTTGCTTATATATCCTTAAGTCTCCCCAGACAAGGCCTGTAAAGAGTTATTGAAGGGACTTAGTCCAATTTTATATTGTGTTTATTGTCCTGATATTACTTTTACAAATCAATACCATTTCCCAGAGACTGCGGAAGACTTAATTTAGCTGAAATGCATTTGGTCTACCTGAGATTTTATTTAAATATTTTCTTTCATTAGTCTGCATGGTAGCTTCTGCTTTGAACTTGCCTATTTCCCAAAGGAGAATTGTTTTACTAGAATTATAAATGTTGTTCAGTTCTTTTATTCTGTTATTCAGCCTTTAGTGGTTTTACCTTTTTGCCACCCATCTCCTTTTTTCTCAGTTCTTCCTCTGCCCGGCAGCCAGCACTGGACCTGAGACAGGGTATCTATTGTTGGTAACTTACTAGTATATTTTAGAGGGCTTCGATGGCTTTGCTTCGTTTATTAACTATGAACTGGAGGTAATGTGGAGATTGATATGCAGTCCTGGAAGATTCATCTTAGCTTACAAAGCAGACGGGCAGGAAGCATGTTAGGTAACAAAAGGATTTTTGTCATTACTTTGTTAATTTTTATTGTTAACTGCTTTGTCTTAAACACACCATAAGGTTTTTATGTTTTGATAATGCCCATAGTATGTATTTGGATTTATCATGCTTAGTTATTCCAAGGTTCACCTTCTGCTGTGTCATTCAGAAACACTCCGTATTAATCTGCTTAGAAACTTATTTACGCCCCAATAAACCCAATCAAACAGCTTAGTTCACCTCTGGATTCTGTATCTTCTTACTGGTTAAGAACTACCCAAGAAATGATCCAGATTAATGGTAAGCGACCTGTCTTTCTTCTTCATGGTCTCAGTGCTGCTACTTGCCTCTAATCAGTGTAAAAAGAGGGCACTGTGTCCTTAGGTTAAACCAGCTATATAGGACCACCACACAAGTAATGCGTCTTCCCTGAGCCAAACACAGAAGAGTGCAGCATTTGAGAAAGGTCCACAACCTGGACTGGACTGTGACTTTAAAACCCTAGGCCAAGAGACATCTGGACAGAGCTCATTAATCATGATTAATAACTCCCAGATATACCCCCCCCCTGGCAGAACAGCCAGTGCCATGCAGCAGTGGCAGCTCTTCTACTACCTCACAGAACATACAAAACCAACAGCATGCAAAAGATGTGTTCGAATTCTTACTTGGATTTATGAGATCAGCAATCTGGAAGTCATTGACACGGCAGATCGGGAAAAACTGTTCCCTGTCAAAGTTTCACAGAATATTTATTTATCAATTTTATATCCCACTCCCTCTCCCCTGAATGGGACTTAAGGCAGCTAACAAATAAAATACATCTAATAAAAGAGTACCAAAAAATCAACAAATAAACTTTTAAAATATGAAAATTAAATATCTATCCACTATCAAGCAGGGTAGGATGCATAGATGGTGAAGACACAGCTGGAGTATAATGTACCAGCTGCCTGGTGGATCACAATCACCCAAAGGCTACCCAAAAAAGAGCAGCCTTGCATGCCATGTAGAACCTGGGGCGGTCCCACGAGGCGCACACACCTCCCCAGGCAGCGGGGACTTGGCAGGACTGGGGCCACTCCTGAGAAGGCCCTCACCCTTGCTGGCACCAGGACCATGCCAGGAAAGGCAGGATATTCATTTTTATCAATATTAATTCTTACAATTATTAATTTGTATCAAATGGACTTTTTAGCACATTATTTTTTGGCATTATACCACATGACATGGCCATAGCCAAACACCCAACTGAATTCCACGGACTAAAGCGTGACTAAGCCACGATCACATGTTCTTTGTATAGAACATCAAAAGCGCAAAAAATATCTGAATGCAGGTGCCCGAAGGAACTGGACTTTACTGGACTCTCCAAACCAAGATGCCACCGTGTGTGTGTGTGGGGGGAGGAGATTCAGAGTTTCTGGGGGGGAGCAGATTAATTTCAGTCCATAGAGATGCCTGCACTTGAACCACTGGAGTTTGTTTCTGCACTCTTGTGCAAGGAAGAAGTAGTGTTGACCGGGGGGGGGGGGGGGTGCACAGGCATGACAAACATGCTGTGTCCACACACACTGTAACTAATATGAGTTCAACTCCAGCTTAATGGGATTTATGCAAGCAACCTACAGCCTACCACCACAACCTGCCAAACAAGGAATTTAAAAGGGAGAGGCACGCACTTGAATAGGGCAAGTTAACCTTGTGGTTCAAGGCAGCTACAATAATTGTTTTTAAAAATCCAGTTCAAACCAGTACAAAACAGTCCCGAGCTCCCCCCCCTTAAAACATTTCTGCCATTCAAACCCTCTCAAAAGCTCTGGCAAAAAAGCAAGCCTTGCAGTACCTCCTGAATATCTCCAAGGAGAGCCCCCCCCCCCACATCTCAGCAGAGAGCCCATCCCACAGAGCCATGATGGAAAAGACTCAGGCCCTGGTCAGTGCCAGACAGGCCACCCACTACAGCAGTTGGCATACAGGGACACACAGAGAGAGATGGTCCATCAAACACTAGACTGGTAGGGACACACATACTTATTTTACCATATATGCTGCAACACTTCACAATGGTTAAAAGTATCTGGCCTGCAAAGCCTCAAGTCAGTTAAACTTTGTATGGAAAGCAAACATGTTTTTAGGCTAACCAACATCAGAATGCTCGGCTTCTGTACACTTGGTGCACCCCCAACATGGAGCCCTGGGCTTATCTCTTCAATTTGCTGGACATGCAGAACTTCTGAATCAAGAGCTAAAGCCTTTATTTTACTTACAACACTTCTATGTCTCCCCCCTCAGGGTCCTGCTCGACTCCTTTAGGATCCTTTCACATGGCAATGCAATATAAGCATCTCCATGACCTAAAGTAAACTAAAAACTTGTCTCAGCTACAAAGAAAGGCCACCACATATCAAATTTGAGGAAATCAGAAAGTTAGCATACAAAGGCCATCTGTGCATACTCACATGTGAATATATAGACTGCCAATGGGTAGGAAGCCTTCATAAATCTGGGGATACGCCGTTTCAAAGGCAACCGGCATCTAAGAGCACAGCAGACCCAGTTAGCAGTAACAAAGACACATGGTATTCCAAAAACATGGGTGAAGGACCAAGGGAAAATTCAATCTGCACTGCAAGTGTTAGAGACTACTTTTTACACAAAGCACCCAAACCAGAAAATGATATTGGCATGGATTCTGTCTTTTCACCCCACTTGCTCACCTCTAGATATTTCCTGATTGTGCATGACACTATGCCTTACTTGAGCAGAAAGCACCTACTGCTGGAGGACTGTGCTATGCAAGCGAAGGAAAGCAGAGAAGCCAACCCACTGCCACATACAAGGTGTTTATGTACAGGTAAGCAAAACAGCCCAAGGGAGAGGTTGGAGGTCTCCAGCAGGAGCACAGCAATTAGTGAAAAGAATCACACACCACCAATCCGTGGAATCTGAGCCCATAGCTACAAGTGCCTTCGCTGCAGACTTCTAACAATGCCAACTCCCAAGCATCTTGGCTATTCACTGGCCACACCTCCATATGGCAGTGCAGCAGCCACAGTATACTCCTTCTGTTTTATGATGCTCATCTGTCATAGCTATTGGCAAACTTCACTCTAACACACAAGTTCTTAATACATCGAACTGTAAGACTGAGGCATGGGAACTAGAACACCACATCGCCCCAATCATCAACCACAGTTGGGATTTATCTGTCCAAAGGTTTTTATGTCCCATGGTGAAATAACTGTGTGACACTGGATTTTGGCAGCAAAAGATCAGTGTTCACCTCTTGCTGGAATCTTGTGGGTAAGTTTACAGGAACAGACAAAGGTCTGCAGTAGAGCACATATTTTCAGATACAGATGGAGGGTTCAGGCCTTGACTTCTGTAATTAAAGAGGGCCTCAGGTACCAGAGCCACAAGATACGCCACCCCACACACCTTGAGAAGAAGAAGAGTTGGTTTTATACCCTGCTCTTCACTACCCGAAGGAGTCCCAGAGCAGCTTCCAATCTCCTGCCCTTCCCTTCCCCACAACAGACACCCTGTGGGGCTGAGAGCATCCTGAGAGGACTGTGACTGACCCAAGGCCAACCCAGCTGGCTGCATGTGGAGGAAGAGTGGGGAATCAAACCCAGTTCTCCAGAGTACTGCCCAACGCTCTTAGCCACGACACCAAGCTGGCTGTTGCTGGTCAGAAAGACATAATAGCGGGCTCCAGGGACGACTGATCTTTCTCAATAAACAGCTTCACTATCTGGATGATTATCTGATAGCAGGAAATGCGAGTGATTAATGTGTCACCTTGAGGGAGCTAAATTAGATCTTTTGATTTTTAACTACAACTGCTTCCACTTATTCCCCCTTTTCACTACAAAACAGATTTCAGCTTCTATTTTCAGTCTGGATCCAGCACCTTCATCCCATAACTTGCTGTAAGCATACCATGTAAAAGTGTTCCAGGCGGATTCCATAGACGATTTGCAAGGCTCTCATGAAGATCACTTGCAGGACTTCAGGCTAAAAGAGGAAGAAAAATTGGTTTGCCAAGTACCCAGATCAGACCAAGAACAGAATTTAGTTACTTTGCAGTAATTGATTTAACTTGGTTTAACTATGAGCCATTGCTGCACTACCCTATTTACATGGTGCTGTATTATTATGAATTACCAAGCAGAGCTCCACAGAGACTACTGCAAAGTAGCAGCCATAAATTTAATTAGGCTCAGACAACTAGAGAGATGGTGGCGGCGTACTTGTGACGAAGCAACAAGAGCATCTTATAGGACGTTTATGAGATCCTATGAGATGGCAGTCAAAGCCGCAAAGAGGGAGTTCTACGCGGCCACAGTTGCATCTGCTAGCTCACGCCCAGCACAATTATTTAGAACTATTTGGTCGTTAACAGATCTGCCACATGGCAGACCAAATGCTAGAGAATTGGACATTGGCTGCAAGGCATTTGCAAGCTATTTTGCAGATAAAGTCTTGTCGCTCCGCCGCAATCTTCCCGCCACAGTTGAGACAGTGAGCAAACTTGAGGCCCCATGCACGTCTTCTGGTCCTATTCTGGATTGTTTCAGTCCACTCAGCCTTGAGGAAGTTGACAGACTGCTCTCAACGGTACACCGAACCACGTGCAGCCTGGATCCGTGTCCTTCATGGCTCATAAAAGCTGGCCATGAGGGGTTTCAAGGTGCCCTCAGGGATATTATCGACTAGTCCCTCAATGAGGGACTGCTCCCGGGGGCACTCAAGGAAGCGATGGTCCGCCCTCTCTTGAAAAAAAACATCCTTGGACCCGGCCAAATTGGCTAACCATCGGCTGGTATCAAATTTGCCCTTTTTGGGCAAATTACTTGAGAGCAGTGACGATTCAGTTGCAGAGCTTTATGGATGACACTTCCATGCTAGACCCTTTCCAGTCCAGCTTTTGTCCAGGCCACGGGACAGAGACAGCACTGGTCGCCCTCACAGACGACCTCTGGAGCCATCTGGATCGGGGTGGCACGGCAGCACTGTTGCTGTTGGACCTGTTGGTGGCATTCAACACGGTCGACCATCAGTTACTGATCCACCGCCTCGCCGACACTGGGATTCAGGGGCTTGCCCTGCAATGGCTTGTCTCCTTTCTCCAGGGTCATGCTAGGGGAGCAGAGGGTAGTGCTAGGGGAGCAGACATCCCAGAGGTACCCGCTGGCCTACAGGGTTCCCCAAGGGGCAGTGCTATCCCCAATGTTATTCAACACCTACATGTGCCCCCTTGCCCAGATTGCCCGGAGGCACAGGCTAAGGTGTCACCAGTACGCAGATGACACCCAGCCATATCTGTTGTTGGGCGGTCAGTCCGACTCTACCCCAGATGACCTGGACTAGGCCCTGCAGGACGTGGCTGGATGGCTTAGGCTGAGCTGACTGAAATTGAAGCTGATGAAGACGGAGGTCCTGAGCCTGAGTTGGAGCAGATCAGGGGTGGGTATCCCACTACCGACCTTCGATGGGACGCCGTTGGTACCAGCGCCGGAGGTTAGGAGTTTGGGAGTGCTCCTGGATGCCATCTTAACAATGGAGGCCCAGGTAGCAGCCACTGCCAAGCAGCCTTTTACCATCTGTGGATGATTAGCCAGTTGGTTCCCTTCCTCGAACGCAATGACCTGGCAGCAGTGATCCATGCTATGGTCACCTCGAGATTGGACTACTGCAATGCTCTCTACATGGGCCTGCCCCTGTCCCAAATCCGGAAGCTGCAGCTAGTGCAAAATGCAACAGTCAGGCTGCTGATGGGTCTCTCTATACATGAGCACATCCGGCCTGTGCTGAAGGCATTGCATTGGCTGCCAATAGCATACTGGATTCACTTCAAGGTGCTGGTTCTGACCTTTAAAGCCCTATATGGCCAGGGGCCTGACTAACTGAGGGACCAGCTTTCCCCATATGTACCCCAGAGAGCACGGAGGTCAGGGTTGCAAAATTGCCTGACTCTTCCTGGTCCGAAGGACGCCAGATTGGCCATCACCAGAGCTAGGGCCTTCTCAGTGGCAGCTCCACACTGGTGGAATGAGCTCCCGGAAGACATCAGGGCCCTGCGGGACCTTTTACAATTCCGCAGAACCTGTAAAACAAAGCTCTTCCACCAGGCCTTCGATTAGGAGCCGCCACTGATGACTGAGCTATTAAAAACTGAGCTGTTACGGCATTAAGAACAACTTGGATACTACATCGGATCATCTTACAGCAACTGCCATCTGCACTTTTATATATATTGTTTGTGAAATTTTATAGTACTGCACTTTCGCATCTGTGTTTTATTGTATTTTAATCTGTTGTACGCCACCTTGAGCCTGCCTCTGCAGGCAAGGCAGGATATAAATCAAAATAAATAAATAATAAGCTGGATACTTGGTAGAAAATCAAGACCTCTCCCAATCCCACAAATCAGAGAGAATTCTTAGGAGGGTTTCTTATGTTGTGCCAGGCACAAAGATATAAAATTGCCGGGGGGGCAGAATCTACAGTCTGAACGAAGGAATCATGTTCTACTTCAGAGGTCCCCAACAGGGTGCCCACGGGCACTCATGTTCTGCTTTGAAAGGGCTTTAAAAATTGGGCAGGGCCCGTCAGGAGGACTTCTGATTGGCTGTGCGGATTGGTGGTTAGCTCCGCCTCCTGCAGCAGCCATTTTGTAACTTGATTCCACCTCCTTTCAGTGTTGTATTTATTCATTTATTTATGGGGAAATGTCCCTTTCTAAATATCTGATGCATAAAATTACCAAAGAACAGGGGCCATTATTAACACAACATTAGGCAAGCTTGGCAATTTCAAAGTTGCAAGTGATGTTTTTGGGATGAGGGTCCCTAGGAATTGTGTGAGACAGCGTGCACACTCACATTTTTTTATCTTTTAATTTGTAAACTGGAAACAAATGGGTAAAACCACACATATATAAATAATCCAAATTAAAAAGCCAAGTTATGAATTCACCTGATTGGCTGTGCACATCAAATAAAAAGCAATGCTAAAATCCTTTTTTGCAAGTCTCCTCTCAAGAGTCTCCTCTCAACGGTTGCAACTGCCACGCCAGCCTGATTAGAACTAACCAGTAATACAAACAAGGCTACGGAGAATGACAATGAAGGTGAGGTGCCCAGCTGACCTCCACGGAACAAAGTTAAATTCTGTTTAAAGAGATGAGCAGGTAACATCCACAGAACACCACCACACTTCCTTGGCTGTGCTGAAACTGCAGTGCATTGAAATGGCACTGCATCTTTGGAGAGTTTTTGGCTTATATTTAAGCTAATGCAAAGGAAGTACATGCTATAGAGGTTGCAATCCTAAGGACCCCTTTCCCTGCAGTAAGCCCCTCTCAACCACATGGGACTTACTTTTGGGTAGATCCACTTAAGCCGCCCTGAGCCAGCATGGGTTGGGAGGGCAGGATAGAAATTTGAATATATACATAAATACAAATAAGATGGCTCTTTTACAAGACTGTTGAAATTATTTTTATCGGAATAATAGTTCTGAACTCAGCATTTAAACCCCATGACTTTTTCTTAATCAAATGATTATAGAAATATTGGTTGTGATTGGGACACCAAATTAACATGCCATACTTGCTTAACTTACTAAATACAAGTCCAAATAAGTATGCTAAATCAGCTCATACTTTATTTAAAGCATTGGACATTTTTCCTAAAAAGTTCCTAATTCATATTTTCCCACATCAATGAAGACAGTGGTACAAGAACATTTAATTCTACATTCCCATCCAACCCTAAAGGAGCCTAAAGAGATACAGCCCAGAAAAAGCATAATTTCAGAATTATAATTGTACAGAGCACTCCAACTACTCTAGGACAACTGCAAAAGATGCACTAATCAGGTGACTTCTGGTTTTCGGCATGAGGAGAACAGTTGGCTCTGGGACTCGCTCCCGTGAAGCCACCAGATCACTGGTTTCTTAAGAGGAGTTCAGGGGCTCCCAAACTCCAATGAGCTCACCAAAGAGGGGCTCATGGCCGGGGGCTTGACTCGGACTTCCCGCGAGCAGCGGTAAGCGAGTGGATGTCCAAGACTGTCCCTAGCAAGACCCAAGTGAGAGTGTCCATAGCAGTTATGAAGTCGTGACTCCCGGGACAAGGGGGAAGCAAAACATCTCCACAAACAATGTAAAGAAGATAAATCACCGTGAGTAACCCTAACTGCAACAATATTAGGAATTTCCTACAGATCAAGCCCTTTAAACTGTTTGAAAGGAGAGGGAAGGGAGGGGTGAAGAACTTTCCTCCCCCCTCCCCCCGTTTTAAAGCGGCTAAGAAGAGAAGAGAAAGGAACTTTCTTGATACATTTACTGGACTAAAGAAGATAAGGTTGATGTCTGAGAAGAAAACTGAGATAAACTTATGTGATTTTATTATATTTTGGATAAGAAAACCTTATTGTGGATTTTATAACTTTGGAATTCTATTTTCCCTGGAATTATAACTGTGCCACGTGGATTTATAGAAAGACATCTAATTTGGATTATAAACATTTATATCTGATTATTTGGACCATAAACTAAATCAAAGAGAAAGAAGAATTAATGAACTATTAAACATTTATTTTTTAACTTTCATTACGTCATTTCCTTATATTTCATTGTGTATACTCCCGTGGCTTGTTGAAAAATATAAAGTACATTATGTTCTGAGGTTTTTGATAAGTCTGTATTATAACTAAATGATCAGATTGTCTGCTTTGCCTGGGAACCCTCTTGTTTTTAATGTAATTGGGTAAGCACAGAAAGCTGTGTGACTTTAGAGAGTTTACAAGGGGCGGAACCCGCAATAGCGGGAGGGGGGGAGGGAGCTCCAGGAGGAATCAGCAGGAGGAGGTAAGTTCCCCCCATCCCGCCGGGCACCCCCCCCCCCCCCCCCCCCCCCCCCCCCCCCCC